CCATGAAAATATCGAAACCCAGAATATCCGTACAGGCACAATCGTAGTATTCGTCTATAGTATTGACCACTGGCATAGCATTGCCGGATCCATGGACTCAGATGGAGCTGTACATGTATTCACAGGGACGATTCAATGATACGATGATATGACATGATACAACAAGCAGGCCGAGTTAAATGTATTGAGTCTTTTGCGTGCAGTACTTGAACATTGCTTTAGAAAACTCGCTCCCACCAACATGAAGCATAATGTACGTTCGAATTCCAACCTAGACCACTAGTTGTTTCTAAGTTCAATAGATGACGCGGCCGGGTTCATAATTATCATTTTATTGAAAGTCTCATTTCACGCGTGATCAGCCAGCTTTCAAATCCTAGAACATACAGGTCGAAGAGGTCAAATCAGTAATAGTTAATCTCTTGATCATCGTATCTAACTAGAGGAACCCGGAAAAAAATAAATATTCGGCCGTGCAGGCGACGTATCAAACCTAACACGATTAATGTCTACTCATTCACGCGCCCAGTAAGTAATGATCCAAATAAGGCTGAGCAATGCTGCAACAGAACGCGGCACCTTCGCTTAGGTCGTTTTCCTTGTTATAACTGTTGACGGTGATGTATGTTATAAGAACGATAAGGCAAATAATGTTAGAACGCTTCCGGTCAGAACGCTACCTGTCCGACAGAATTCGTCTTGCAGACAGTTCGGTTCGTGAACCAGCGGCAATGGTTCACAAAGCGCTCCTTTGCTTAACTCGATGTCACAATTCAAGTTACTTAACCATTCCTCCAGTGGCCGAAGTCGAGTTCTGGTGAAAAACGTAAAAATAATATATACTATACAATGTACGAAATACAGAAAAGCAAGACACGCCTATAGAAGAAATGCCTCCAAAACATCTGTTTACTTCCTGTTTACCCTTCTCTTCACTGACTTCTAACAAGGAATACAATGATACTAAACTAGCATTAATCTGTTTCCAGTTTTTCGTTTGGTCTGCCGTGCACGAACAGAAAATGGATATTAATTCTATCGTGTGCACAACGCGAATACCAAGGCGTAATCGTCCTTGCCTATCTAACGTCTCTTATTGCGGAATACGTATCTGAACCTTTCATTCAACCAAGGCTAGGAACCTACTTTTTGGCTAGACTATACAGAGCTGAGCGCAAAGCGTAATGAATAAAATTTTTGCCTTATTGTACAAACCAAACTCAGCGCAAGCCATCTTTTATTGATCTGTCTGTCTGTCTGACGACAGTCCGAGATTTAAACGAGCGCCTTCATCGATCAGGATAACCATTTAAAAGGACCAGATACGGGAAGCCCCGCAGAAATTCTCCTTACGACTACTATCTGTCACTAAAAACTGCATAACAGTAATAATTTTTTCACACTGAAGCGATGAAGCTACTATTGTATATACATCTCGTGTAATAGTGTGTAATAGTGGGAGGCACTGTGGCAAGTGCTTGTTTTTTCGCGAGACAGTGGTTCCGTATGCCACGGCATACGCGCGCTTGTACTATTTTATTTTACGAATTATCGACACGAACAGAACATAATAATAATATTAATAATAATAAACAATAATTTGTAATAATAAGTATATTTCTTTGGGAATACCAAATGTGTTTTTAAATCTGCTACTATTTGAAAACAATAGCACACTTTCGAGAATTTAATGCTACGCACAGTTTACACGGTCCTTAACTTACCGTTCATTATCTAACACAACAGTGAAATTTATTCTGGCCTAAACTTTGCTAATGCCACTATAGCACACCAATCACCACAACTGCAAGAACTTCGGTTTCATTCTAACATATAAGATTTATATATAAATTTTTACTATTTTTCTAACCATTTTTCCACACATGATCTGGTTTTGTTGTTTTCGCTATGTGTAAAGTTAGCGACCTTCAAGCCTCGTTGAAACTGGCCGTATGCCGATCTATTCTTCTAGATTTACCATTATAGACATTAGAAGCAGACCTACTTTTGCTGCACCCGTTATCCTATAATAGGTTAGACCACACAGCCAAATCGTTGGCCAAGGTAACATCCCCAACTGGTCAGTACTTATCCACTGATTGTTTGTTAAACAACAGAAATACTCTACTCTTAACTTAATAAACATTGACCAGTACAACAGTCTTTTAAACTAAATCTCGTTTTCTGATACGCCTTTTGCACTAATAGTACAAAAACTATTTCCATGTTCTATCCCGCAGCGCTGATGTTGTGTTGGAGTTTTTTTTCGTTTAATTCCGGCAGTCGGTTTCCAGTACTCTAGAATGCTGGACATGAAAATGCACCCGAGTGCAGTACAACACATATACAGAACTGAAAAGACGGAATAATGTATTGACCGAGCTGTCCGTATCTATATACAGATATTTGTATATATAAATATAGCCCTTGTAGAGCTGATGGCTCCTACGTACAGCAGTCATTGCATAAAAACTGACTAAAAAACAACAACAACGACGTAAAAACCGTGGCCTAAGTATCTTCGAAATAAGAACAGGTTTGGAAGGTTATGTTTATAATATTAGCAGACAAGTAGGCACATAAGTCGTGGAGTAAGAGTGTGCTAAATAGCCCTGCTATTTTATAGGGTGTCGTATAGCGCCTGTTGCTATAACATTCTCACACGACACAGACGTCGCCTCCAAAATGAAGTAACGCTGTTTGGGGTTGGAGTGCAATAGCAGCGGTGTGAGAAATAATTCGTACTGGTCGCGTGTACAACCCAGGTAAGAACGATGACGCGCGACATATCTGAACAGAATACGAGATGCAATAGCAATACGATTTTTTAGTTATTAGTAGTACTGTTGATAACACTCAGATGTTAGTGATACCATTGTTCTACCTGTGTTTAATAACAATTAGGGTATTTACAGAAAGTTATGAAGGCTTTAGGTGTGAGCAGCTTGTTAGGCCATTTTCGGGTGCGAAATTCGAAGTACTTATTTTCTACGATAAGCGCCTCTGATAATGCTTTAAGTGACGAGGTTGTCCTTTAACTATAGGGTATCATGAAATAAAAATTTGACTTAGCGATCAAAGCCAACACTAAATCGATCAAAAACACGATGGTATGCGGCGTATATACCATATATATATATGGTAGCCTATTGTGTATGCTTTCGCCACTGGACCACCTACAATGACATTTTTTCAGGAACTGTTGCTACTTGTTCAATTGGAACCCAGACAATGACGCAGCATACCCTTCGAAGTAAACATGTTAGCTCGTTAACTGAAGATGCGATTTATTATAGAGTTTATTCGTAAATTTATTGAACTTAAAAAATCCCAAATCATAGTTGTTGCATATGCGATACCCACATCTCAATCGTTTAAAACAAACGAACCGGTGTTCCTCCTAAGATCCTTAGGAATCTCCCGATTCTTATGAATCCGTACTCATGCTTCAATAGCGGCGATTAGAATAATTTTGTTTTTTATCTATTGATTTTTATTTTTTTTATTCAAACAGATTAGGACAGCGGATGCAGAGACTTCGTCCGGGAAAGTGGATCAGCTACGTTTACTGCAGCTACATAATAGCTGAGGGACGGGGAGTTAACGCAAAGGTCGATTTCGAAAAATAATGCCGAACGACTTAATGCGGTCGAGTGGTAGCGAATCGAATGATAGAAGGAAAATTGATAGGAGAAACATTGTCCGTTGCTATGAATAGGTCGCCCTGTTTGCTGACCGCTTTCTTGGATTTGAACGAGTTCTTGTGGTTACTGCTAAAATAGCCATTGACTAAGCTGACTTCTTGACATTATTACCGTAGATAGAACATGGTATCTACGTTGAATTACCGCTCGGCATTGCGGTTTTTCACGGATCAATATCCCTTAACATACTGCTGTACCACAAAGTCGCATTATTTTTAATCGACCAGAGCCTCTCTTTTGAATCCATTTTTACATTTAATCCGTTGGTATACTCTGCGCACATATTACTGTGTCCGTCAGTAAAAACCTCGCTCATGCCTCAATATGATCACATACTCATACATACTCATTATTATGCCAAATTCTTATTCATTTGTGTATATACTGGCATAACCTTACAAGTATAATGAAACCTAGCGATATTTCTCTACGATATTCTGTACGATATTCTGTCCAGACACTGTATAGACAGGCGCATATGCATGCGTTTGTCTTAAGCCTTGGTTAGCCGGTCGTCTGCATGTCCTCATCGAATATCCGGACGGGCGCTTTAGCTGTCCGAGTTAAGCAGCTCTGTCTCTGACAATCTCAGTGAATAATTGTCTAGGCCGTCGTTATTCGTTTGTTGTTAGACTCGAGTATTACAGAGAGAAGCGGGCGCAACTAAAAAATCTCATTCACGATCAGTTTGATTGATCAAAAACTAACTGCAATGAAGGGTCCTATGACGTCGGTGCAATGTTCTTTGGGGTTGTTTTTGCCTGAAGAAACCATGATACACTGCTACAAGCTGACGTGCCAAATTCTATCTCCGAGTACATCTCGAACCTGCGCTTAATCACGGACGATTGGTTTCGCAAAGTCAATTAGAACGGCGAATGTGAACAGAAGTGCTCTCTCTACGAATTCTAGCGTTGTGAGAAAACCATACGCAACGAATAGGAAGCGAGCAGGCCTACACTACAAACGCGGCTGTAAAATGCGGCGTAATTGCCATACCTGCGTTACATATGATTTAATGGTGTGGACTACAAGGATGTGTGTTTGGGCGTTGTTTTATTCTACAGTATTGTAAATACAGTACGCATGAAATCAGAAACTCTCTTATATGATACAATCTAATATACCTATTGCTGTGGGGATCAGTAGTAAATTTTATCCAAGTAGAAAACCTTCCCGCTACTTCGTTTTCGAGTCCATTAAATCTGCTTAGGGACACTATCCTTATTATAAAGTCAGACCCCCAACGCCAAGTGTCTAGTTGTCTAATAAAAGTAGTTTTGTGCTTATTTTCAGAATACGTTTTAAAACAGGCAAGTCAACATTAAATGCTCAAACAATGGCATCAGTTGTTGAACTCAGATCACACGTGCGTACCAAAACAGGGATCAGGATGCGTAGCTGCCTCTTGATGGCGTTACTGGTGGCCGCTACCAAGGCAAATTTTTTGGATAGTGAGAGTAGGAACAAAAGTGCTCTTCAATTTCTTTGCCTAAACAAGAAACAAGATTTTTTCATGTGTTCCTCGAAGTCGCAATGCATTAACAAAAAGGCGGTCTGTGATGGTGGCAAGGACTGTTCGGATAACTCGGACGAGGAGGCGTGTCGTTGCGTTAACCGGAGCGATTGCCCCATGAGGCAAAAATGCCAGAAAAACTTAGACTTGGCCCGATCAGAGTGTATTGACGACGTGCAGTGCCCCACGGGGAAGCAATTCAACGGCGAGCAATGCGAAGATATTGATGAGTGCCAAGTAGAGAAAAACATTTGCCCAAACAATAGCTCGTGTGTGAATTTCGAGGGCGGATACACCTGCATACATTGTCCCAAAGGCTACAAACCATACATGCATGACTGGCGAGACTTCATCTCTGCGAACAATTCGTTCAGTGAGCCACACGACGTTCTACGTGGTCTGTACTTGTGTGGCGATGACAATGAATGCTCGAATGCAGATCAGTGTAGAGAGATTTCTGGGAACATATATGACCAAACGAGGAAAACGTATTGCGTAAACCAGGTGGGAAATTTCTCTTGTGAATGTCCGCCAAACCATGCGCGTGTATACACTGAATACAGTGATGGAAGCGCAGACGATGTATGCCGCGCGATAGGCGATGTCCCACAAATAGCAATCGCTGAAAACTATTCTATCAGCCTGTATGATCTTCGTAGCAGAAAGCAGCTGAAGAAAATCCCGTACGTATGCTACCGTATATGATATACATGTAGATCATGCATCTATACATAGGGTGTACGTGTTGTTCACTATAAACCCCTTTGTCACCCTGAGTAGTTTAAATGCTTTTGAGTTTTTTCCACAATATATAACATAGGAAGTATATACTTTTGTTATTAGTATATTATATATCTCTATTAATAAGATTATTTATGTACACGTATCTGCACTCACGTTGTTACAGAGTGAAAGAGCAGGTGGTGGATATTGTCGCCTTCAGAGAAACAATATTCTACGCCTATCCAGAACAAATTTGGGAGTATCATATGGCTAGCGAGTCACATGTACTCCTTCTTGACTTCAGCAAGAATGCAGAATTCAGCAGTGAAATTAAGCAGCTTGCCCTAGACTGGGAGAATCTCCGAATTTACTGTTTGACGGGTGATGCTGTGGTCATCGTAAATCTTTCCGGTGAAGGCGGAAAGCTCTTTGAGCATCGAGGAAACATCTCTTCATTAATAGTTGACCCCAATGCGCGATACCTGTTCTATTGCGAACACGGTTTCGTGAAACGGGCTCACCTCGACGGAAATGTGTCCAGCCCTTCTATTATTTTCCAGGCTATTCCTAGCGTTAATGATTTCCGATACAATAACGAAGAAACATTAGCTCTCGACCCAAACCTACAATATTTGTATTACATCTACAACCGTGTCCTCTATACCTTCGATTATAAAGGCGAGTACGCTGTGGTGCTCACTACGCAGGCTCCATACATTCGCCTGGAGCCGTTTGAGAATCGCCTGTATGCCATATACCAGTCAGGCGTAAAAGGACTTGTCAGCATGCCCCGCATCGGCTACTCAGTGGGAAATTTGGAAAATGGAGCCAGTGTGATAGTATTCTATGAGAGCGCCCCACATGCCATATTCGTTATGCATAGCTCTAAACAACCATCGGGATCTTCTAATAGGCCCTGTACAAAGGATGAGCATGTGTGTAGCGAAATGAGCTGGTGCTTTCCTCTACCATCGGAAATTACGCCCAGTTACCGTTGCTTGTGCGACCCTGCTCATGAGTCAGGAACAGGAGACCAGCATAACACAAAAAACAAGCGTAATTGTATCCCGCTAGAACTTCACCAACTGCGGCCTAAAATTACTTCGGATCCTGATGACCTCGTTTCGGCTTCTATCAGTCTAGCAGTATCCTCTCACTTCGTTAAAGTTCCTAGCTGGGGTCGACCGTTTCACGTTAACCTCATAAACATTTTTACATTCCTAGCAGTTTTCGTCATTGGCAGATTATTTGAATGATGCAACTCTGGGTTATTACTACAGAGATAGCAATGACGAAGATTATTGTTACTATATTTTTTTCTTTAGCGTTGCTAACGTAAAACAGACGGAAACACGATTCTGCTGACTGCTATCGTTGGATTCGTCACTACATTACTATTCGTCGATTTCCTTAGTGTCCGCACACAGAAGAAAATCGCGGAATGGACAACGTCTACCAACGAATATACGAATTTATATAATGCATAAAGACAAAAATAAAAAGATAGACAGAAATGAAATTATGTAACTGTTGTTGCGGGAGAAAGTAGCAGACGCCGGTAAACGCAAAGCAGACCCATTGTTTGTAGCGTGGCTTTGCCATCTCCTACCACGATAGACATAGTAGTGATCTAAGCATATTTATGTTGTACATACAAACGACGCAGTATCATGTAAATACTTCATACTACTACATTGGTATAATGGCGTATTATTGACATATTACCATTATTATTATAACTAGTAGTCACAATGGGGCTGAACTGAGTAAATCGGAGAAATGGGCACATCAAGTGTCGAGAAAAGTTAAAGAAAAGGACTGTACGAAGATTATTATCAGTGCGATGCTTCCTATTTAGATAATGGAGGTGCTTGCTATAACGGGGGGATTTATTTCTATGATATCGCCAACATTATCTTTGCTATTATAAAGTCAATATGACGGGCAATATGGGAAGTTGACTGTTTATGTTGCTCTGAATACGACTGTAGTAATGCAGTACTATATTAAACTTATGTTGGTTGTGCATGGTATAACGTGTAGAGATATGAAGTTTCGTTAAGTTACCGGAGATTCCTAAAAACAAATTCTATGATACATTACTTTTCTAGTAAATCTAAAAAGCTACTAGTAGAACATGATGATAGGTGCAGTAACGCAGAGGAACTGTTAAGGAATTTGTGTCACTAATGAGACGACGCCATGATTTTGCAGCTATTTTATTATGAATCCACGAAACCTCTTCGACTTTAATACGCGACAAATATCAATAAAATCAAACGTCTCCACTAGTACTACAATAAAGATACATGTTTTTCATATCAGCTCGATTTATTGCGCCTCATTTGCATCCGAAAACTTCCACCTTAACAGGTTTTTAAAAGAGTTCTTCATTATCTGAGCTCCAATAAATAATGCTGATACGTTACCAATTTCCGATGCCTAGGCATCTCACCAGAATGACCATTTTTTATTTCAACCTTTTTATGAAAAAAGTGCACCAATCGAAAATGTGGTGCCAAATATAACATAACTGCTGACGTCTAATACCGATTTGTGTGATAATGGTAATTTGACTACGAAAAAAGTCAAGCATGTCAGTACTCCCTTGAATTGGCTTACGAGGCTTAGGTGGTCAGCCGAGGACATCCAGGCCAATTACTGGGCAAATAGCTTTTCTAAGTCCTCTTCCATAGTCTTTCAGGTCCATGGCCGGTCAATGCGATGAATAGATGCAATAAGACGACATTGTATAATCAAATAAGTTAGGATGACGGATTTGGATTGTTATATGTGTATTTTAGTTACTGACCACACATTCCTTCGGGCAACTTCTATCAAACTAACTATCAAACACAAACAATAAACCTGCCAGATCTTTTCAATTGTCACATGATTCTAATAAAGTTATGCTTACGAGCGGATTTGTAGTTGTCCCGTATCGCTTGACTGGCTCGCCTTCCTTGTTAATAAGGAACTTCGTAAAGTTCCACTTGACTGCGCTGAAAATACGATGAAATTATTTTATTTTTATTTATTTTTATAATTATTATTTTATTTAATTTCATCGAATAAAAAATATAAAATAAAATAAAATATAAATTCGATAAGAAAATATCAATTGGACATTTTTCGATAAAGTGTGCGCTAAACTCACAAAGTATATCGATTCAAGTGATGGCTATTTGAACAACTGTGCAGTGCTTCTATGTATTTAGAATCTACATGTGGTCCGAGTACAGCCAGTTATGCTAGTACAAAAGAACAATTCTTGACAGCCGCTTAATCTTATTAATACCCCTATAAAGTTCTAATACCCATTCGTCGTTAGCTATGCCTGAGAATTTTAACAGTAGTTGTATCCCTATCAAACACAAGCCAGAATCTGCCAGAAGACGGGCAACACCTTTTCCGCGGGGATACTGAGTTGATGCAAGTCTACCCTACAGAATATAAATAACTACTTACTTGACCAAAAATCCGGGCTGCTTCATCTTAAGGTATTTCCACAAAGGGTGAGCGTCTTCGCCGTTAACGTTGATCTTAGCAAACATGTCAAACTTTCCCTCGCTTTTACCTTTAGTAGTCCAATTATTTTGTCATAATCGTTATTACATATACTCAGTTGTGCAAATTGCTCTTCGTTTTATCGCCGGCTAAAGTTTCTCTAGGAAGGCATTTCATCAGGTTTGTTAGTGTATAAAATACTATACTTATATTGCAGATATTCCTTTGCATACAACGACTCAATTCACAAACACTTATTGTATCGTATTCTTGATCGGCTATAAAAAAGCCTACCAGGTAAACAATTCAACCAGACATTCATCTATAACCAACAGCTTCAAAACAAATTTTCAAAGAAGATACAGTTAGTAGAACTTTAATGACAGGTTGGGTTTTTAAAAATGATAACATACATTCGTATTTATGATATACATTTGAAGTAACCCTGAATATATTTCAAAACAAAAGAGTTTGCATATGGCACAATTGGACATCCACAAGTTACGTTTACAACTTCTGATTAGAAATACTTTTCTTTTGCATAGCAAAGAACTGGAAAAAGAATTAACAAATATAAATAAAAAAACATAATACATTAACTAAAGAAGCATAATAAAATTAAATATAATACTATGGACTGTAGAACTAAGGTTATTACTCAATAAGATTGCTTACCCTGCACGAATCGCTTGATGTCCTCATTAGAGCCCGGTTCTTGATTTCCAAATTGGTTGCATGGAAACGCTAAAATGCGAAGTCCGTTCGAGTCCGCATGCTTCTGGCTGAGTGCAACTAATTCGCGATAGTTGCGGTTAGTTAAGCCTCATTTGGTGGCGACGTTGACAATGATGCAAACGAAGCCTCTAAAATATCATATCAGAAAAAGACAACACAAAAAGGGGTTGTCAAGTATTCTCGTACTGAAATTAACGGCCACTTTTGAAAGGCAGTGCCATTATGGGTGCAAATGTTAGCCGAAGGTATGGTATATTTAAGACTCAAATAAATTATATATACTGGGTTCTGCGATAGATTCAAGCAATATATCCTATATAACGGTTTCAGACCACTCATAAGTTAATTTTTGCTCATCAAAAGGGACTTCAAATGGCCTTAATAACAGCCAAGCCGTAAGCCAAAACAAACAACAAACTTTATTATAATAGACTTTAAATACCAGCATCTTCGAGGTACTGTAACTGTTTTAGAAACAAGACTACGATGCAAAGAAAAACTAACCGAAATATAGTTTCGCGCTTACTTGTATCTTGCGAGGCTTACGTCGTTGCCATCAATGTCGAGGGCATTGAATTCATATATCGAGTTTGCTTGCTTCCAATTCGATTCCTTCGGATCAAAACGGATCTTTTAGGAACCTTATAATACTAAATCAGTAGCAGTATAGGCCAACCGATCTGGTTGTAAATGTACTAACGCTATCATTATTCGAAGATGTATCGACCCTTATGATCTTTATATGAGATGTGACAAATATTTACAATGGAGATAAAGTCTGTTTCTAAAAGAAGTAAAACTTGCAATCGTGACAAATTGTATGCGCCTTCTTAAGTGATTACGGGGAACAAGTTACTAACTGCTATCGATGTGTTAAAACAGTCGCAAAAGTGTGACTAGGATTTATTATATCGCTTGACTTTAGTATCACCGCATATGTTAGCAGCGCCCTGCATTAAACAAGAAGGTTGTAGTTTTACTATGATAAAAAGAAATTAGGAGGTAGACTTGCCCACGGTACAGATTTTTGTCGCGTGTAAGGGCTACAACGGCACCATACAACAGCCCAGCTGTTAACAGCTAGTAGCGAGAATGCAATAAAGAGACTGATGAATGTATCTGTTAACCTGCTATAAACTTTCTATAAAAAACAATGCTCATAGATGTAGATTCAATGGAAAAATAACTGTATATTACAAAATTGACAGAAGTATTGAGTAATAACTATAATTAATATAATAAATAAAATTTCACTTACCGACATGTTTTTTGCAGCTAAAACAGAAAACAATACAGTCATTAGACGAGAATTTTAATTTGTATTTTCCTTAAATTTCGAATACGTCTAAAAAAAAAGTCAAGAAACTTTGTCGAGGCAGCAATTCGGAATTAACACAAACGATTATTATTCACAGCGACACGCGTAGCTTAAGCCAATATAATTCACGGTCTAATTGCTATTAAGTCGAAGAATTGAACTTGTGTGCCTTAATTATAAAAGTAGTAAATTTCTCAAATACAATTTAGAATGTAAAGAGTAAGTCTAGTCAATTTTAAAACAGTCAAAATTTATTTTGGATTTTCATTAGTCAATCAAAGAAAGCTTTGAAACTTATACTTATTCGTTTTAGGTTCCTTTGGGCATAATTTAGGTACATGATCTATCGTCAACTTGCTTATTTCTGAGCTGCCTAACGACGTTGTGACTATCAACCGAAGCAAAACACCTCACGAGAAGCAGCGTTGTTGTGTGGTCACTTGAGCTATTAAAGATCCGTCCCTCAAATACTGGGTAGCTAATGTCACCAGTTCAGTTGTAACATATTCTCATCGGAACGGCTTAAAAAAAAGCCTACTTTTGATTTTGATCGGTATTCATTGGTTGATCAGTAAGAGCAGGAACGAACAGCGAATTTTCTGAGGGATTCTCAAGGCCGTTATAAACAAATTAGGAACTGATCACTTATTAGATCCTATTTTCCGGAATTTATAGCCAAATGGAATAATTATACATACTCGATTATTGCATTCCTCATAAGCTAGCAAGTTATGATGATGTTTCACCCAGTTAATAATAACTCTAAGCCTATCTGCGTCGTTAGTCTCCAAGGCCAATGCGCAACGATGTTGTGCGAAAATGTCCTGTTTACGGCGACGTGCGGTGGAAAACTATAGATGGAGTGGGTCATAACAAATCAATTTGGCTTTTAGGACGCATGGTTGGATGCGATTCATTCGCAGCTAGTAAATACGCACATGAGGCCAACAGTAAGATAACTTCCTATTGTACTAACTGATTGGCTCAGGTGGGCAGAAGACCTTACATGGAACTGAAAGATATGCTTCGAGTTTTATGTCTAGTGCTGCCTTATTTCCGAAGCATAGCTTCTGACGACCGGTTCGTAGCCTGAAATTAAATCTACGCCTGGTTTTGAACCTAAACCACCGAGTGTCTGTATTTCAGTAGCGCATAAGTTACTGGGCACTATCATATTGAGTGTTAGTAAAATTCGCCTTGTCTCACCTCGATTGGTTGATTTTCAGCTCCTCTTCTACACCTCTTATGACTACGAATTGTTCCGTCTTTGTTTCTACTTTGTTTACTCACGGTAACAGACGAATCATTTCTCTTTTCATGGGCGATCTTTGTGCGCACTTCACTCGCCACACAGACTACCCTTCCCGTCGAGTTTCACAAATTCTATAATCTAGAAACGCTGCGTTAAATGCAAACTGGGTCGCTGATAACAACATATGTAGGTATAGGTTGCAGATAATTAGCGGGCAACTTTCTGTCAGATTTCTAACGTTCAATAATGACATGTACACTGCCTTCTGCCTGTTCTTTTGCGTAGTGGTAATCTGTTGTGGTAACATTGAGCTTGCATGTTATGAAGTATAAGTTTGTAGCGGCAATTTTCTTGGAAAAACTAAGATATCTGTCTTAGAACCTATTACGGTTAAGCGTTGGACCATTAGTTGCCAGCCGAGGATGCGTGGACAGTTTTTAGTAGAACAGATGAACTCGGCAGGATCTAGACAAACCAGATTAATTGCTAAGGATAATATATTTCAAGTAAACCGCCAAGAATCCTCACTAAATGTTGACGAAATAAAACTTCTACAGGTTCTACAGTGTAGAGTGTTATACAGGTAAAGCAAACGGATAACAAAGTTAGCTTAGCAGACAAAATAGAGCATTAGAGTTTAAAGCATTTCGTTGAATTTTAGACACCCTTCTCTCAAACTGCAAAATCTCAAAAGAAGTTGACGTAAGTATTAACTTCGGTTTATTGATCACAACCGAAGGATTCGCTTTTCATCTTCATTCGTATAGTTAAGTGAATCTCTTAGTTCAACCATCTCTGTATTGATTGTGCGTAGTGCCCTGCATGGAAAGCCAAATGTTGGTTAGGTTTACTAGAGATTCCTTAGAACACACATTTTATGATGTATGTAATTTTTTAACTTGCATATATTAACAATCTCTTTTTCATAAAATATGCTATACTTCATCACAATCTTACCGTTATCTAAACCCATTGTTATTATTACACTAAAATAGTATTCTCAACGCTACATTGCTTTCGGCAGAGCTTTAAATTTTACTTCTGGTCAGAAATTATCGTGATGCTAGGGGAACGGACGCCACGTTTTTCAGCTGCTTTATCAGTTGATCTCAATAAATCTAACAGTTCCCGGGTTAAGTATAATAGCCTAGGAAGAGCAGAATACCACCGTCGAGAACGTACGTGTTCTAATTCTACTTTGATACGGGCTAATTTTAATTTGGAACTTCTGCCCATCCACCATTAAATACTTTGTCAAATCTTTAAACTCTTGCTGTTGGAATTGCACGTATACTGGTGTGTTTTCCTGGTAAGAATTTTTGCTGAAAACGAGTAGCTGGGCCAGTAGATTAGATAGAAACCTAGCAGACGACTAAGCGTAATTTTTCATTAAACGAATCATATTGAAGCTCCTTAGCTACTGGTTCCAACCGTTAAAAAACCCTAGTAAAGAACACTTCATGTAAATAGACGTGAAGGTGGTTCCGTTTATATAATTTGATAGACTAAATGCTGTTCAGACTGGCTTTTCATGGACTTGCTTTAAATATTTTTCATCAAAAATGCTGAGCTATGCACACTCATCATATCGAACTTTCCCATAAGATAATTCCTAGTTTTTCCACCAAGGCAATAAAAAGCGGCCTTCTGCGAGTTATCTTCTACATATCTTTATAGGTTACGAGAATAAATTTTTTTGCCAATCTTTTCAAAGTGAAATTTTAATATCGTCAATCATTGAATAAATGAAATTCTCTCAGGATGCGCTTCAATCGATATAGATAGAATACTGTACTCCGGATACTAACTTTCACCGCACATTCTTCTTACTGCAATAAAGATACACAATGTTGTTTTGTGTCAGCCTAATTTATTAAATCTCATTTGCATCCGAAAACTTCCACCCCAACAGGTTTTTGAAGGATTCTTCATAATCTGAGTTTTAACAGATCACGCCGTCTCGTTGCCAATTTCTAGTATCCGGGCATCACCACTATTTTTTCTCTGAACTTGATGCTAAATTATATTATTAAACGTATGTAAAAATCTGCGCACGATTACCGATGACTTCTTGGCCATGATGTAGCGAAAGTCGATCAGAGTTAATTAGGAGACAGAGCAGACGTTAGAGCACTCCCCCGAGTTGACTTGTGAGGTTGCGGTGGTTGGTCGAGAGCCTCCGGGAGAATCTGGCGGTGTCTGAGCAAATAGTCTTTGTAGGTCCTCTTCCATGGCCTTTATAAAGATGATAAGCAATCAAATTGCAACGAAGATGAAAGGAGAAACATCGTACAATTAAATAGTTAATAAGAAGGTTAGGATAGACAACTTTAATGACGTCGGCATATTTCGTGTATTGACTACACACCTTTTCTGATTATAACAAATAAACTATTTGACTAAGTTATAGAAATACCTTTTCGACATTGTTAAACACTAATTTGTATGATGCACAATACTGCTATCAGTGTCCATTTAATCAAATATTGCTAAGATTTTTGATGAAGTCATGCTTACAAGCGGATTCGTTGTCGTCGCGTATCGTTTGACTGGCTGGCCATTCTTATCAATTAAGAACTTCGAGAAATTCCACTTAATTGCACTGAAAATACCATAAATTCAATTTAAATAAGCGCACTGCGGCGTACTTGGACGAATTTGTGCTACATACGCTTATTTACAGGCCAGAATTATAATTCATGTGGTCTGAGAATAAATGTTTGTGTCAGCAGTGAAAAACAAAATTCGACAATATATCATTTCAATTCACCATTGAGTTAGAATTCTATCTTGTATCCTATTGAGTTCATAATATAAACTTGTCATTCGTTTACGCATCAAGAACGTTAAATGTAATTATAGTCATATTAAAATCAAACAGAAACGCAGCAGAACACACGCGGTATCTTCGTTACATGACTACTGAATTGATATAGGTAAACTATATTATAATACACCACTTACTCGACTATGAATCCAGACTCTTTCATTTGGAGGTACTTCCACAAAGGGTGAGCGTTTTCACCATTAACGTTGATCTTAGCAAACATATCAAACTTCACACCATATTTACCTGAATTAGTGCAATCAGATAATGAATGTTATGCATAACGATCGGGACACGAATCGCCTTTAGCGGTGGCTAAAAGACTCCTAGGCACACATGTTTGACAATACACAACGTACTATGTTTACATCGCAAATATTGAATTGTTGTAAACAGCAATTCAATTAACACACATCATAATCTGGTGTATTCTCAACGTTGTTCATTTATGTCGACTGAAAAGAGCACCCCTGAGGCAATCAATATTCAATCAGATATTTGTCTGCAACCAACAGCAAGTTTTAAGAACATGCAAAATGACAAATTTCGATAACTTGGTGTTTCAAAGTTCAAAGGCCAAAGGTGCATTCTAACCTACCGTATTCATTTGAAGTAACCGCGGATCTATGTGTAAACTTAACTAGAAATTGACACGTGACGCAATTCAACTGGCACAGACTCTTTTTACTACTGTTAGTTGAAAACACAATTTTGCTCCATATTGCTTAATAAGTTGTAGTATAGCAGAAAAAAAAACTATAAATAAATAACTTAATACATAACAGATAAAGAACATAATAAGAGCAAAAAAAAAACTAAAGGCTGCGCACTTAACAACTACACTTAAAGACATTATTATTCAATGAGATTGCCTGCCTTGCACGAACTGCTTGATGTCTTCATTAGAGCCCGGTTCTTGATTTCCAAATTGATTGCATGGGAATGCTAAAATGCGAAGTCCATTCGAATCTGCATACTTCTCATACAGCATGACTAACTCGCGATAGTTGCGATCGGTTGCACCTCATTTGGTGGCAACGTTGACAATGATGCAAACGTGCCCCCTGAATTTTTGTATAAGGAGAAAACATAGAAATGGTTTGTCAAGTACTTTACCAAAAAAGACGCCCGCTCTTAAAAGACTATACCCGGACACATGCAAGTATTAGCTAGATAAGAAATGTGGTTTAAAATATATCATAAACATAAGATTTAAATAAATTTACGGTAGTACAGATGATTTTAGAAGCTAAAAAGGGAATCATTAGTAGTCGTCTCTTGTTTGTTAATCTTTACACGTACTTGTATTTTATGAGGCTTACGTCGTTTCCGTCGATATCCAGAGCATTGAACTCATATATCGAACTTGCCTTCTTCCAGTTCGACTCCTTTAAATAAAAACGTTGACAATGTTGAAGCATTATATTTGTAAGGTTAAGCGAACAGGCCAAACAGACTGGTTGTAATTGTACCACAAACTACATTTACTATTTTGAGTCGTATTTACTTTTGTAGTCCTTCGATCAGACGTCCCATGGAAATACAATAAAAATAAACTTGGCTTTTAAGAAGTTCGTCCCTGCAATCAAATACCCAGCGTCACCCACGAACTGCAACATTAAATAGAATTACTGTGGAGAAATGAATCATCAACTGGCATCCAGTTGTAAAAAAGTATCGAAAGTATAAATAAGAGTGAATATTGTACTAATTGTTTTAATTATGGCTCTATATGTTAGCAACACATTGTGTAGAGCTATACTATAACTATAATGGCGAGGAATAATTAAACAGTAAATTAATTCATTATACACACCTAAATTCTAGGTGAAAGAGTTCGCGGATAACAATTAATGAACAGCAAAGTTCACTCCAATGGAAGACGTAATCGATAATTCTACGTATCTACCAACTTACTTCAAAGGTTCAATATAAATTTAGCGGAATATATATATTTTTTGTGCAATATTAATTTTACGCTAGAATTGGTCTGGCTGGCCCACTCATTATAATGTTCTTATTTTGTACATCTGTGTACATTCACGCAAGATTTATATATATTTGTATATTATGGTGTCTGCGATAATGTTGTTGGCCGTCATCAAAATTGTATTAAATGATTGCTCTTGATTCGTACCAACAACGACCTCCTTTACGTAGACTACCATGTAAAAAAAAGAACAGCGTTTCGTCAGGACCCCGAATTGAGCAGCATATTCCTATGAAGAAATTACCCAACGTGCAGCCAACACCTTGAACTTGGGCTTCTACAACTTGGAGCCTGTTAATAGCCTTTATTACTGTTCATCAATCTATGTGCTGTACCACTGATGACCATAATCGAACTGGCAGACAACAAATGCTAATTGTAAACCATGGGTGTAGCACAACAATACTTACATACAACACAAATTAACTAGAAAAATTGCACGACTAAACCTCATAACATATTTTGGCTGCCTAACGATGCCAGGACGACCATTACCATTATAAGGCTGTCACTGCATGATGTCGCGGTTATACCTCTGTTTCTAAATGCCGTCGACGTTAATAAAAATAAAGGTCCTTTGCTATCTCTTTTGCTCCGTTTTTTAGCGCGCCGTAAAACAAATCTAATAGCAAACTTTCGATTTTTACCAAAATCGATGGCCCATTTAAAAAAAAAACGGCATTATTTAGACAAGTGAACAAATTGAGCGCAAAGAGTCCACCGACCAAAATATAGACCAGTATTTACAGCTTTTGCACACACACCCCCTAAGCAACAACGAAAGCAAACTGTGGCATTAAAAATGTACTTTGTAGGCGGATAGACAGAGAGACATCATCTATAATAAATAGAGTAGTTAGCTTAATAAGTTAATGTAAATATTAAGCAATAAATATAATGACCAATTATGAATAGGTAATGTTGACTTACCGACATATTTCTTGCAGCTGAAATGACGAAAGAGAAATATTATAATGATTAGATAATTATTGCACTTTGCGTTACTCTGACACTTCCTGACTGCAATTAAAAAAAAAGTAATACAATTTTATATAGCCAAAGTCCACGATGTCTACTTTTAATAACTTGCGTAGCACCAGCCGAAAGATAACTGTTATTAAGTGGAAATTAAATAATGGAATGTAATAGTGTAATGGCTGCAAATTTAATTTTTTTTTAAAATGTATTAAAAAATAATGTTATTTTCAGCGGAACTCTTTATTGAGCTGATTAAGCATTAAGATCAACATGTTAGAGGTAGCAAAGCCTGTTATTGGTACACCGAAGAAATGCAATATATTATTCCTCTTTTTTGAGGCTAGTTTCAATTCAAGTAGTATAACATAGTATACGCACCCGTGGACTTCGCCCCGCACCTGTGTTTCCATTAAATGTGTTAAAATTTAGGTGTGTCAAAGGTAAGAAGTATTGCAGGCAGGCGTGAAATACACCAGTGGTTGTGTAAATAAAACTTTTAGTACCAAACAGCCTGTACACTGAGGGTTACTGCATTTGTATACGTGTAGGCCTATAGTTAAAATCGTTACGGAAGCTTATTAGCAAGTATTTCATCGCAGAACACAACAAATGACTACATTTATGGTTCGTTGCTCTTTTCAAGGCAAAGTTCTATCTTTGGCAAGTTTTCTACGCAATTAGGAGGAAGTACACAGCTAACCACGATGAAAAACGGGTTCACCGAGAGACATAAGGACGTTGTTTTTTACTTTTGAAAGATATAAAGATGTCTTTAGACTTTGAAAATTGGCATAGCAAAGCATGATTGCGCTAGACGTTTAGCTCGCAGTAGTGCCAGTGTCTCATAGTCTTATGATATTTGGATATCCCGTTCTTAACCTTTGCTTCAATTAGGTGACTGTAAAGATCACAAACTATCACCCTTATGCCGTTTCACCGATTAGGTTATATTCCTTAAAATATCCATAAAATCGCTCAACAGAGCTATCGTTTCTATCTTTCATTAATCTAGCAATATAAACTTATACGCGTTTTGTTGCGTATTATAATCGGGCATAAGTCGCGTTTGTCTAACTCGGAAGTTCCACGAACCGATCTAGCGGCTTCCCAATGTATTTACTGGGTTCAAAGCATAGAATAGAACATCATATATAACTGAAATACATCTGCAGCTTGCATACAGTTAAGTATCATTAACAAAACTCCTACATTTTCGTGCCGACTGACAGTTTTGCAGCTTTTAATAATGCGTTTTGCTGTTGAAGGTCACATCAATATCAAACCAATAGCATCAGCCCATGTTCGCTATCGTAATCAACCGAAACGCATGAGGAGAATGACTTTAGATTTCAGTTCACTCATCGATCCATCGATGACGGCGCGAGACAGCGACAAAATTTCTGTGGGACTTGAAGGTCTACTAGCAGCTTATTCATAGCGCCATTAAGTTCAGTTGACATTATTACAGCCAAGGATTTAAGAAGAACAGTTACACGTGCACACATTGTCCTTCGTTGACCCACAGTCTAGCATGGCATGACTACGGTCTTATAACTTCATTGTGACCAGCACCCTCTGCGTCGCAAGTCTTCAAAACCATATATACCAATCCACAATCGCATTTTGTGAATGGAAATATTTTGTTAACTACGTATAGAAAAAAACTAGAACAGTAGCGGGTCGACTTTGTTTATAGCACGCAGGGATAGGTGTGATGCATTCACCACTAACAGATCTACATGAGCCACAATCATGCGATGGCGTGCTCTCTTACTTATCAACCCACCTTGACACAAGCCTTTGCCGATAATTGGTAGAATTCGCATCGTATTCCCACAATCACCTGATTCTCAACTATAGTCTCACTGACTGTTGAAACTCTATGCTAGATTCTTTCTGTTCTCTTTGTTTACTCACATCAGCAGACGAATGGATACTTTTTTCAAACCGTGTTCGCGAGTGTCATCGCGTAGACGACCCTTCCCGTCTATTTTTCTGGAATTTGGAAGATCGTGCTTTAAAAGCAAACAGAACGGTAGAACAAAGCATATATAGAGCTGAACGTCGCGCATTCTATTGCGGAAGTGGGCTTTGATTTTATTGAGTTAAAATTTCTAACTTACAACAATAACGCATTAATGCGTTTTTCTCTTAACATTCAATAGCTGTCTCCTGTGGATAACGTGAATATAATACTCCTATAGCATGAGCTTTAAACGATCATATTTTTAAACAAGAACTACTTAGTACGGTTGAACTTTTGATAATTGATAATTGGCTGATGGTGCGTGAATAAATTTTAACAGGATAGACAAACTCAGCAAGATTCGGATTCAGTATTAGTAATAATAGTTGATTAAACACAACAGACAGAATCACATGCAATGATTATTGCAGTTTTGCAGAGACATCGAACGAACTTCCACTAGAGACATTCAACAGATGAGTATAATTTGTAACATTCTGCTAAATTTTGAGACAAGTTTTATTGGAAAAGAATTGGCTCTCACATTTGAATTCTGAAGAATTCTAAATAAGTACTAATTCATATTTGTTAACCATAAGTGAAGGATTCGATGTGAACTCCTCCTTCGTCTACTAATAATAGTATTAGTAAGTAACAAGCAACAAAATTGTACTTTCTTTACAAAATCCATACTTTTTAGCAAAGTTGAAAATGTATTTGTACTATCACATCTCACATATATAGAATATTTGCCAAGGCATTTGTAGTTTGGCATTCACACACACAGAGATTAAAAATTGAATTTTTCAGGGCCGATGACCAGTTCCAAGAAATCACCTACTTCGAATTGTTGTATCATATTTGCACGTTTCTACTCATGTTTTATATTTCTGTATGTCATTTTTATTCGAGATCTCCCAGTGGCCGTATCAAAGTGGTAGAGAATGTAGACAATCGGATCGTTGTTTCGTATCCTGTGTACACTATTTCTACGCTAAGGTCGTTCTTCTTGTGTGACCCCTGTCAATATACTCGTTAATATAGGGTTGTCATCGATCAATGGCCGACTTGGACAAGCTGCAGTTGAGCTCAACCGTCGAAATTACCAGCGAAATATTATACAGCTTAAAAAAGTCTACTTGAATTTGAAATAAAGTAGAGGACCGTGACTAGAGAACGTTGGGAAAGGAAGTCTGTATTTCACTGTTTAGTTTTGTCTAAGCCACTGGGGCTAATGCGAATTTCTTGGGGGTACATTCACATTGGAACTCTAACCAATAATCTGCTACAAAAAAAACTGTTGGTGCTTATGATAATATTTGTGTCTTCATTCCTGAATACTTGTAATCTGCGATCGACTACAGGATGATGGCGCTGTCTTCTGTATCAGTTATACTAAGGCTACCAGAGGCTGTCTTCAAAATAAATATAATATATAATCTACCTGTTTTACAGCGAGAAATAGGATTATTGAAAAAGGAAATCCTTGATCCTCGATTCTTTCAACTGCATAGCCCAGAAGTATCTCCGTTGGTACGTTCTTGTATGTTTTCCGTCAATCTCACATTAAATGTAAAATGACTGTGTCATAATGTCATGGGCTTGTTGGTGTATTTTTTAGAGCGTGCTTCACGACCGCCATGCTAAATAACCTCTTTCCAGCGATCCCATGCATTGTCGTCAAACAAACAAATATTCTAAACAAGTTCTAGTAAAAACGTTTTTTTTTTAACATTTACTAGGTTTTTTTCACTTATTTTGAAAATGATAAAATTTTAATGACAACATGAGTTTATACATAGTAAACAATTTGTTGGTCACGTCAGGGCCGTTGCAGCTGTCACTGTTTTAATGGCCTTGGTATTTTCCATATCCTCTTTAGGCAGGCGATTCAGAACTTGTTACGTTCGATAGATACTTTAACACTAAATAGAGTGTGTCCTAGAGAATCTTTTTTCTGAAATTGATAGGTTTTTATGGAATCGAAGCGTCGACATTACTAGCTTAAGTTTCGTTATTACTGTCTACAAGCGTACTTATTATAGAACCTTTGGTATGACTATATTTGGTAAGTGTTCTCATAATACCCCGTAGTGTTGCATACAAAAAAGTTATCAAATTTAGCATATACGAAGTTATTATCGTTGTAAGAAATACAACTTTTTTTATGTCTAATTTTTCGCTCTATTTTTTTCTTTATGTTATTATGATTTCAGATAAAACTGCTAAAATTACAATTCGTTTCGAAATAATTGAACATATCAGGCATCTTTAAAATTTTCCATGATTCGATAAATGGCTCAGAAGTATACATTTTTTTACACTTTAATTCATGAAAAATAAAATTCACGATTCAATTAATAACGTGATTACTTGAGACTAAGGCTGAAAAGAGAAACAATGCGAAACTTGGAAAGGCAAACCTTTCAATGCGTTGCTATGAGTGTTTAAATGCACCGGCCGATAAATTAGGTGACAATAATAGCCAAATAAAAGGTAAAGACACCGAACAAAGTATATGCTCTTTTTGCTTGAGCTTAATTGAACCTAATAGAACGTGAATCGTTGTGCATTTCTATTTTCATGTGTAATTTAAGTTACACAAAGAGATTCCGAAAATGGTAACACATAGAGCGAATCAACAACACCAGGTGACATGCCGCGAGTTATATATTTGAATTTTTATAAAAACATCAAGGTACCTAAAGATAATAAGCGTTCAAAATAAGCTTTTATGTTCGCTACGTATAACACAAGGCTTTTTGCAAGTTTCCAAGTATTTGCTTTTTCGGGATAACGTTTCGAATTTGGATGCAAACGTCACTACTTACTTCACCGAATATATCTACACAATTAACTAAAATAATCGATAGATGATGAGCAGGCCATATGGTCTACGAAATATTATTACAAATAATCCGGCGATTGTTGTATTTTGTTGTAGCTATTGTGGTTCTGTAAACATAACGTGGATTCTGTGAACATGGATTATGTAGAGTGAAGTCAAAATATCGAATAATAACGCAATATCGAGAGAGAAATTTGTATGACTGGGTTACGTATTTGTTCAGCCAGGCAAAGTAGATTCAATGGGGTCATCATGTGCTAAAGATACGTTTGCGTTTAAAGCATAATTTACAATTATTTCAAAACGATCAACCTTTGCGCTCGTAATATACGTCTTGCTAAGTACAAAAACTAAATGTTTTAAGTATGTACGTTTGTCATTTGTTAATGTCTATCGTGATAGGCAATCGAGTCTTTGAATAGTTTATGGCTGGCAGTCTGGCATGTATCCCCCACGTTTCTAGTAACAAAATGACCAACTAGGAACCGTCCTGTGCTTAAACCGGCTTCGGATATGAGTTTCTTTTACGAATGATGCTAGCGTAATTGCCAACAATGTCAAAAATTACTTTTACGCTTAATCACTTGTCATGGTTTATGAAGTTTGGGTACTGCAAGGTAAATAATTATCAATTTTAATTGAGAAGCTTATAAGAAATGTGGAAATTTATTTGAACTAATGATTGTAATTTTATTCAGTGTTTTTCTACCGGATCTGGCGCTAATAGATAGAACTGTACAAATATACGAGATTTCGGAAAATAAAGAAAATATTTTATCGCAACGCAGTTCAATTATTAGTACTGGTTCCAAAAATGTTTCGACAACCGCTTTTAGCAGTATGAACTGCCATCAAGACTTAGGGAGAACAGACTTTCTGGATATTTAAGTTAATATCGCTCACGGGCATACAAGTTTAGTAACGAACTTTATAAGGGAATGAATTTTAAACCAATTTGTGGCGAATCGACAAGCTGGACGATTTTATGTAGTTTGTCCAGAGCAAAACTGCACTCTGGAAAACTATTATTTCTCAATTCGACAACTATATTCATGGGTGTGCATATTGGAGGGAATATCCAAAAATGACATCTGGAAATAATGTGAGTCAAATGAAAATACATTTTGTTTCTATTCGTTTTCTGTCCATACGATAACGATCAAGGTCTACGTATGTTAAATTCTTATATGTATCGCTACGTAGTGTATGTAGTATATAAAAAAGATTGCCTTAAGATAGGCGATTTATCATTTGATAAGTAGTCAGTACGCGCGTACACAGTGAGAATTAGGATTTTCCACACAAGTATATCCAGCCTACGGAAATATGTTTAGTTCAAATAAAATACAATTTTAAAACATTATAAATATAGCAGACTCATATTCATCATTCGAAAGTAATTTGTTTCAGGACAGTATGTTTTATAAACATATCGTCTCGCGGCTTGAGACATCTATAAAACTCTTTTATACTTACTTTAATATCGCTAATCCAACGTTAGATCTCACTGCTTGGGTGTCCTCATACGCTATAATGGGACGAACTGCAACTAGCTGAGAATGATGTTTTGTCGCTGCGTCATCATTGTGTTCCGGGTTGACCGATCGTTTCGATCTGATTGTGAGGGTCGGCATGCTACGGTAGAGTCGCGTAGGTAAACGCCTCAAGGACGTATACGAAACGCTGCAAGCTCTCCGTTCCTTGATTGCAAAGGGCGACGCGACGGTGAACCACGGTTACAGCCAATCGAAAGTTCGAAACTCGGCTGTCATTTGGGGGTGAAGTCAGGCCAAATTCGAATCGGCAGGAATCTAACACTCTTCATCGTATCAGGAATCGCTACTTCTCTACCTGCAAAGTGAACACGGTGGGCAACTTACGGTTCTGGGTTTACCAGGTATAGCCATGGGAGAAGCAGGTCTACGACGACCGTTTAGGACAAAAAATCGACAGGTCATCAGTGAACCTGTATTTACACAAATGTGATTAACGGTGTATGTCTGCATATATGAATGTTAAAAGGATGAAGAAATTAAAAAAAGTATTTTGGAGCTAATTTATTACTAAACGTTGGAATAAAATTTTAGCAACAGGTT